TATTTAGTTTCACTATCAACTCTTCAACTTTTACTAATTTCATAATCCAACCACTAATTATGAATTCTATTTAGAATTCATATCAACTTTCCTATTTAATCCATAATGGCCCTTCACTATTATAATCACTTCACATTAATCACATAAAATTTGCATCACCTTAATAAAATATCCAATTCAGTCCTTTAACATTTAAAATATTGCAATTTCAACCCAAACTTTCCTAAACTTTCAATTTCAATCACCCAACTTCATAAACTCAATTTGATTCAAGCTCGTTAATTAAGCTCAAAAACCAGCATGATAATAATATTTTCCAGCATTCAAATTTCTTGTTCAAAATACTAACATCACCTTTATAAAATCACAATCAAGTCCCTAAAGTTTTAGAAACCTTTTGAATTCATCCACTAAAATTATCAAACTTGAAATTTAAGTTCCTAACATCTTTTCTAACTTTTAAATTCCAGTATATTATCCTTATAAATCAATACTAGGTCCCTTAAATTGTACATTTTCACATTAAAGTCCCAAACTTCTCAAAACTTGTACATTAGCCCTTTCTCTCACTCAATCTTCCAAATTGATTCAAATCAACCTCCAAATCACATAGAACACTTCTAATATTCATTCTAGACCATAGGAAAAAACATTTCAACATTTTTGCCTTAATCTCTTACCTATGGCAGAATACATCATGTCATAATAGGTGGACTTTTTGTTCAATCTCAAGCATGATTTCAACCTCACATGATCAAATTCATGCATTTCCAATCACTACAACCTCAAATTGAATCAAAATTCATCAGTTCTCCATAAACACTAAAGTGACCAAACCTAATATAAGCATGTATAAATAGTTTAAATCATCATACATACTTTAAAATTAATCTCCAACCTTACAAACATTAAAATTCTTCATAAACTCTTCAAAATCACCAAACCCTTCATAATCCTAATCAACAAATCTCATCACACAAACATCTTCACCATACAATATTTATGCCAAATGATAGAGAATTTCATGTAGAATAATTCTCTATTTCACAAACTAGTCCAAAAATCATTCAAATAACTTTAAATTTTGGAAAAAAAAGTTTTCTTACCTTAAGCAAGAGGAGTTTTGGCCAAGAAGAAGATAGGAGCTGAAGATGTTGATTTTTTTCTCAATTATTCTAGTATTTAAAAGTTGTTACACTTGGCTTAAAACTAATTTAATTGAATTTTTAATTCAAATTTTAAGAAATTTCATTTTAGCTATTAATGAATCCTAAAATTATCGTATGCTATTTTCCCCAATAAAATATTCCTTAGTCAAAAATATCTCAACTTGGCTTTGACTTTTCACTTTGGACATGCAATTTTCAAAAATTATATTTTAGTCACTAAAACTTCACTGTCCAACCAAATCTGAAAAATTATGCTGATCTGATCTAAATTTATCTAATCTAAAATATGTAAATCATATTTCCAACCATTTTCTAACATCCCCAATTTTCGTGAAATTATGACTCGATCCGATTATACGATTCGTATATCGAACTTTATCTCTTTATAGCTTTTAACACAAATTACGTACCGAAAATCTGATTCACACAAAAATCATTGTTTTAGGTCAGACTGTTCATTTACAGGCTAAAATATATAACTGTTCATAATTATATTTTTAGTCCCTAAACTTTTATAGAGTTTATACTTTAGCCCTTAAACTTTCAAAACTTACATTTTAGTCACTAGTCAAAATTTAGGGTTACAAAAAGCTCATATACTAAACGTATAATTCCATCCATTTTCAGCATATGAGTGCCTTTCGTGATTGTACATTGCAATGAAAGAAGTTCAAAAATCAGAGATTGAATAAAAAAAAGTTCTATTGTAAGCATCCAAAATGAATAGTATATGCCACTTTGAGAGGTATTCTTGTAAATCCTTCTCTAGTCCATACCTAAAAAACATCCACCATTATACTAAAATAATGAATTTATTTTATATTACAATTGTTTTGATATTTATTTCGATTTATATTTGGGCAATTATTAAATTTCAACAAATTTATTATCTGAATTTATATTATTTATAAGTATAAATTTATTATGAGACGATCATTCCATTCAACTTTTTTATTTAGAACACCAAGATTTGAACCTCTAACCTTGTTTAAAGAATTTAATGTCCCATCTCACTATACTAAATGATTGTTGGTGGATTCATATTTAAATAATTCTAAAATTATAGATATTAGGTTCGTTGTTATTCCTACTCGTCTAAATTATAAATTTTCACATTGATAAAATGATAAAATTATATTTTAACCTTCGACAACAAAAAAAATTAAATTAAGTCCCCTTTCGTTTATATTTGTTTGTTAAGTTAAATAAACGAGTGTGAATTTTTTATATTCATTTAATAAACGAACGAACGAACACGGGCAAATGTATGTTCGGTTCATTTATGTTTGCGAACAAGCTCGTTTATCTACTCATTTATTTATGTTCATGAACAAGCTCATTTATCCGATTTTCCTTTTCCTTTTTTTTATATTTTAAATATTGGTGAAGGTAGTGACTAATTTAAACACATGGTAAAGTTGAAATTTAAACCGTGAATTTTAATGAGTTTAAGCACTAGTGATGTAATTTTACCATTTTTCTTTAACTTGCAAATGAAAGAGTAAAACTAAAAATTGAGCGTATAAACGAACTATAAATGAACTCTGGACAAACACTAAACGAATAAGTTCACAAATAAACGAACATGAACACCTTCAAAAATAAATAAACGAATATGAACACAATATTAAAAATTTAAACCAACAAGAACCGGACACAAACATGAACACCTTAAAAAAAATAAACAAACATAACATTATTTGTTCAAACTTAGTTCATTTACATCCTTTAAGTCGGCGTGTACATAAAAAGATAAAACATTGAAAGTAGAGAGCCACAAGCAGTGGTCCATTACTGTTTTAAGTGGTGCTCCCGCTATTGGAGTAGATGGAAGTGGCCAAATTCCCACACTCCGCCAAAATGCTTTCCATTTGATTTCATCGGATTTTTAGGCCACTAACTTCCTTTGAATTGACATGATGATCTAAACCACTGTTCTCCTTCAAAGTGATTTCTGATAGATATTTACCCCTCCTCATGTTTGATTTTTAACTCCGTTGGTGATGATTGTTGATGGTGATATAACAAAAACTTATCATGAAAATGAAACCTACAATTTCTCCACTGCATATTGGTAAGAAACGGGTGGCATGAAATTGCAATGTCCAGTCTTCCATTAATGAACAGTTGGAACTTTCTTAAAGAAGGGTGATAAATACATATCCTAAAATGATACATTAAACCCGAGGCTCTGAGCAATGCAAACCAAAGACTTTTTGCAATTTGGTGATGCAAACAATATAAAGAAACAGTGTAGTTGACTTTGTGGGAGGGGGGGAATGCACCATGCTTCTTCTGTTGCTATTGGGTGGGGTATGGGAACACCTAGCCATAACAACACTTCAGTATTCTCTCCATATGTATGCTATATTTCACACCCTCTACTACCAATACAAAAGCACAGCTTCCCTTGCCCATGGTTCAACCACGTATCAGCCATGGCAGCAGAAGCTTCTTGGTTCAGGACTTTTCTTGTGGTGGCTTTGCTCCTCCTCATGCCTTTCTCCTATGGTATGGTCCAAGGCTTTCAGGGTGGCATTCAGCAAGCGGAATACTCGATTGAACAGGTATTCCTTGTCTTTGATAATGTAGGTATTGTTAAGGAAATGGTGTTGATTTAGTATATTTGTATATATTCTCAAGGGTGGGAAGGAGATGATCCGATTCCAGATGAATGCAGCGAGGAAGGTGTTGATGTTGGGTGGAATGCTGGATTATGATGATCCTGGCGCTAATCCAAAGCACGACCCTAGGAAGAAACCTGGCAAGCCCTGATATTTCTATATTTACATAATATTCAAGTATACAAGACCCAATTATGTTGATTAAGTAGTACTGGTATTTTCCAGGTTTAAGCCTAGTCCCTCTTCCGATAATAAAAAACGGTTTTAATGATTTCTGAAGTTTTAAAAATTTTGAGGAAAAAGAATCAATTTAGTCTATGAACCTTTTGCATTCAATTAAATTCTTAAATCTAGAAAATTAATTAATGTGATCTTTTGATCAACAAAAACTATTGTTAACTGTTACAGTACTAAAATGATCGTCCATAGTGATGACATGACAATCAACTTATGAATGATAATGTTTAAAGGTCACATGTGATGGTCTACATCAAAAGAACATATTGATTGATTTTCTAGTTTAAGATCTTAATTAGATGCAAAGAAGTTTAAAGACCGAAATGATTTTTTCCCAGAAATTTGAAGTCCTCAAGAACCATTAAGCCTAAAAAAAAAATAAGATCCAAGTATTGAATATATATATATATATATATATCAAGGAAATAAAACTGTGATGATATTAATTAGTTTAGGCAATAATTAGACAGAGGAATAATTACTTTCTTAATGAGTAATGGGTATTTAATGACAATTAATGAAGTTCTTGAACTCTCTTAATGTTGAGATTTATGTTTGTAAAACTACTTTCTTGTCTGTTTGCCTGTTACTTGATATATTGTATTGTTTTTACATCGTGTTTCTTTCAAAAGATACATATTGAGTAGTTTGAGTCTAATAATTTGTTGTAGATATTCCATATGTTAAAAGAGTACTCAAAGAATACAGCTTGGAACGTCAAATTTTATAATTGATCCATCCTGATTATCAAATTATGATATAATTTTATCAACTCGTCCTAATCAAATAAATATACGTATTTGGGGAAAATGGACAATTATGGTTATTATGTGGGTCAAAATCAAAATGCTAATTCATGAAATAATTAAGTTTGCATTTTCTATTGGGAACAAATGCACAATTGTTCATACGCCATTGTAATATATGATGTGCATTAATTATCATATAGGCGCGGGAATTTCAAAAATCAACGCAAAGAAACAAATGTAACTAGACAGTAACATTCTGGATCATTAGCCTACATCAATTTCTCCACAAGTGCTACCAGCTAACATAGACAGTTCCGTTATACAGACTTTTTCAAATTCTGCCTTCATTTGTATGTACACAACTTGATAAATTCAAAAAGAAACCTGAGACGACAACCATATTCCGAGTGACACAACACCAACTGTAGCTAAAGCTTGGCCAAATTCAAACAGAAAATTTTGTTGTTCAACTGGCAAATTCTGCCACTCGGTATGCCTGAGCAATGGTCAAACCAAGGGAACATAAAAGTTAACAGTGGCAGAGGAATATTATGTAAATTCATAAAGCAAAGACTGATCAGATGCACTTCAAAGCTAAGACAAACTAAAAAGAACAGCAGCATTTTTCACTTGATATTCATTTCTGTGTAGTTCCTATTATGTTTCCCCATGCTACCTAGATTCTAATGTTGTAATCAAGGACTAAGACCAAGGACCAGAGACTGTTCTTTCTAGTTTTTAAAATGATATAGGATTTTGATTTATAGTTACTGCACATGTCATTCGGTTGGTGGCTCACTGGCTGCAATAAGCCTTTAAAGTGGAAAGAGTTGGTAATGGTTAATTTAAAGACTAATATAACAACTAAGCATTGGTTCTGTGGTAGAGGTTGATCCAAATGATGTCCAGACAGCTCAATTTAAGCTTTACAAACATAAAAGAAATCATATACTGGTAGAAAAAGCTGCATACCCTAAATCAGCAATGATAATACTGACATTGTCTTGTGAGCCTTTATCCTGCACGGTATGACAAATTTCTATGGTTACTGGAACTTTTGCAGCAAATACATATACACAAGTAAAATTAATTCAAAAATACAAATTACTCTTGTAATTAATTACCAGAGCAGTTTGTGCAAGTGCATCACATGCTACCTGAATCAGGAATAAGGGGAAAGTTACAACTAAACCAAGGTAAGAATATCATCTGCAAGTTTATTATGTATATCTGATAAAAACTGGAAGTTATGATTCAGTTATTGTTGATGAAGTTTGGTATAATGTATAAATCACCTGAACATCTCCATGTTTACGTAGTTGATTCCGAACAAAAGTGACTGCATCTGAACTGAAAGAGAAAAAGAAAATCATAGATTTGTCAGTCACATCCTGCTACAAACTGAATTTACAGCATACTAATAAAAAAAGGCTTCATGTGCAATAGAAAGAGTTTAAGAGCATAAATAGCTAAGGAAACCTGTTTATGTAATCCCATAAACCATCAGATGCCAACAGGACAAATTCTGCATCTGACCCGAAAGCTACTTTAAAAGTATCTGGAGATGCAATGACCAAGTCATCATTGAAGACTACTCTGAAATAAAATAAACATTGAAAACCAAGCAATCTTGTAAGTTTGAAACACATTTCAAATAGTCTGACTTTTGCTAACAAAGGAAAACACTTTGACCTAGATTTTACTCTAATTAACTAGTAAAACATAAACCAAGGCTCAATGAACCCACATTAAAAGTGGGAAGATGAAACTGAAAGGAACTGTAGAAGATATACCCGGGAAATAAATTTTTCAGACCATCTCCTTTCTTCAACTCCCTTCTTCAGCATTCTGAGCAAATGATGCAAAACCAATACCATTATGATGTACGCATAAATGTATAGAACATATACATAAACTCATACAAAAGAAGACTTTAAGTTGAGAGCAAGGAAAGAACCGAACTCATTCTTCTTTGTCTTAAATCGAGTGTCACCAAAAGCACGGGATACAGCAATGTCACCACAAATCCTACCATTGCTAATCTATATATGGACATTACAACAAAAAGACTTATGATCAGAGCAGTGTGAGTAAGACAAACTTGTTTGAGGCACTGGAGTTTCTGATTATGTTTTAATATAACTTACAATATAAGAACTCTTGTTGGCACAAGAAAGATCGGTGATACTGTGATATAATTACTAATTAAAAGATAATCATCAAGAACAGAAAAAATAAAAGAAAAATAATTAAAAATAAAAAAAACACACCCATCCACCTGCTTCTCTGATTCTTTTAATTTCTTGCAAAAGAGGCCTGGTTGCTCCCATAGGGTCGGTGAGAATCAGTCAAGACTTGTGCTTTTCCAGCACGGGACAGAACCTGCATCAATGTATCAGCTGTCAAAAGAATGAAAAAGTGATAATCCACTCAAAGAATAAAGGTCTTTATGTCTAATTCTCAAAGTGTTCCTATTTCTCAGGAAACCCAGAAGTATTAGTCTCAAGGATTCTAATGTTTAAAAAAAAAGTTTTAATACAAAAGCTGAAATTGGAGCAGGCATCCATACCACACAAGAATCACCAACATGAGAAATGAAGAGCACTTCATTTCCAATTAACATGACAGTGGCGGTTGAACCGGATTCATCGTTGCCATCTACAATCTTTTCAAGCCTTCAACAAAATGAAACACCAGCTAATCCTTCAACCAATAATATACAAAATTCTACAATTATATTAAGACTACAAAATTAAACTACAATCCATTTCCAATATTTGTAAGTTCCAAAGCATATTTCCATTTTACTCACCAGTTTAGCAACTTTTTATCAGCAATTTCAAAAGCCTCCGCTAACGCCTTCTTAATAGAGTTGAAATCTCCGTTCAACAAAACTCCACCTTGCAAAGCTGTAACACACTCTTTATACAGCTCATCTCTGCTTGAACCCGAACCATCTCAAATCAATTAGTATTTGCTAATAAGCTAACAATAGAAGATGCAAAAGGAAATTTATAACATTGATAAGCTCCATGCCTGAGATACTTGACGGAATATACGCCGCCATGGCCATCAAAGACAGCAGCGAACGAGAATCCATCAAGGCCGTCCGATCGTACAACTAAATCATCCTCCATCTCCTCGCGCCTTCCCTGCACGCTGGCAGACCCCCAACGGATCCCAGAGACATCGGATAGCGAAGAAGGAGCGTTGATTGCAATCGCGGAGCAACGACATGGGATTCTGGATCTTATCCCCGTTGAGGTGGTTAGTTGGTTTCTGTAAGCGGTTTTGGTATTGGAGGTGAAATTGAACTGGATTGCAAGGAATCTTTGTAACTGAGGAGCGGGTAACGCCATTTCTGTTGGTTGACTCAGTATCCGAGTCAAAGTGGGTAAATTGGGGCTACGAGTTCTGTTTTTGTGAGGATGATGAGAATCTCCTCCGTTAACTGTGGGCGGTGTTTGTCGATGATAAGAGAGTGAAATTAAGCCTCAAACTGATTTAACGGATTGTATTCTACGTGGGCTGTGATCCTCTACGAATTTTTCACTACCCTTTGAGATAGTATTCTCTGTTCTGCGGTTCAGAATTTGCCACGTCAGATAATGAAATTAACTTCCTTTTCTTATTTGCCCTTGTCATCGGCTGGATACTTCATTTAATGAAATCAAACTTGAGATATGGACACTCAAGATTCAATAGCCTCAGCTTTTCCAACACAGAGTCTCATTGTCTCTCTTTATTTAGGGTATACTACATTATTAGTCATCCATGAATTAGTGTGTTTTTGTTTTGATCACTATCCTCTATTTTTCTTTTAAATTTTGTCATCGAACACCCAATTTTAATGCAACATTCTTCTCATTGTCGTGATTATTTTTGGCCCACACAAACCCAACCCAAATATAACACCACTGAACTTGTTATTGGATCCGAATTTAGGAAAGTTTCATCCACACAAACCCAACTCAAATATAACACCAGAAAGTTCCATCCGACCCAATTTTGGGGTAAACACCCACACCCGCAACTGACCCGATATATATATATAATTTTTATCTTTATTAAGTAAAATAAAGATCTAATAGAAAAAATATAAAGAGAAATATTATTACAATTATCCCAAAAATATATAAACGCCAATTATATTATCATTTCCAGGTCAAATGAAAAAAGTTAAAAGAATAATAACCCTAGAGTATCGGGTCAAAATGGGGTTTGGGTAAAATGGCCATCCCTAGCTTCATGAGCAAACATTACTAAAACAAAAGCTAGTAAAGGCCTATTTCACCTTATTCAAATAACTTGCAAATACTAACCCTAAATCAAGGAGGAACAAGAACAAACATCCATTAAAACAAAAAAGAAAGAGAAATTATGAATTTAAGACTTAACCAACTGATTAATGCAATCATCATCAAGTCTTGAGCTTAGTGTACACTAACCTTCAGCCTTTAATAGTTTTTATATGTATATGTATGTAAAACGTTACCGTTTAGAAAATTCAGGTGAATTCTTCCTTCAAATAACCTGCGGGCCTGAAAGGGTCAGATTCGGCATATGCATCTGGGCGGTAGAACCCAGAATCATTGACACGGTTACTGATAACATGATGTATAGCTTTCTTCGAGCCTCCATATTCATCCCGGTTACTCTCGACGTATTCTTTGGCCTCGGCCGCTACATCATTCACGAAATCAAAACGGTTGTCCTCAGATAGCAACAGCTCTCGATGTCCATCGTCAACAGCTTTCCTCCATCCCTTATCTTCCTAACCTGCTCCTCCAGGAACGGAATCCGCTCCATCTTGTACTGCAACATTTCATCCTTCTTCGCCTGAACAGACACAAGGAAGACTAAACATCCACTCCCACGAAAACATTGCAACTAAATGCCATTAAGCGCACTATTTTCACCATGACAGCACATCCATATGAAGCAAGGTCCAAAGATAGGTATAGCGCGAAATTTCGTTTCGCTAAGTATATACAACCTTGACTCGATCCTAAATGCCGGAAGATTTCCACCGTGTACGAGAACGTAAAAATTAAACTAACATTTATTCGTAACTCAACTCCTAAATTATCCCAATTTTAGTGAAATACAAGCAATGTTGAGTTGATTCACAATATATATAAATCAACATTGAGAAGATATAACCCACAACAAGCAACTCAATCAGTCTCTAAGCTGTAATTGTTAGCATGAAATTCCAATATGATTATACATTTTCTACTGAGAAAAAAGGATGAATGCTCAAACATCTTATCAGTTTTTAACAGACACCAAATTTCTTGCCAAAATAAAGTTGGATAAAGTACATCAGAGGTCATCGAACTACTGAACTTTCAAAAATTACAAAATGATCCTTAAACTTATCGAATCGTTACAGCATGTAATTGCAACGTTATAAAAAATTGTAAAAATTTGATATTTCAATGACTATTTTGCAACATTTCGATAAAATTTAATAATCATTTTGTAACAGTTCGATAAATTTAATGACCATTTTGTATTGAAAGTTAAGTGACCAAAAAGATCATTTTAGAATACTTAAGTGAACTCGTGTGTTCTTTACCCAATAATTATCATATGCACAAGAAAACAAAGAACTTAGAAAAAAATATATATATACCAATTTTCTCCGACGCCAAACACGGCGACCACCGCCCTCGCTTTGAGATCGGCAAACAATCTGAAAAGAATTATTTATCATAAAAATAATAAAAAGTATTTTCGGGTAATTAAACAGTACAAATAAAATGGGTTTCGAAATATAAAACCTGTGAGCTTAAATGGGTGTCGAGGCGCCATGAATCAGTCCCTGTTCTCGCCTGGGCCAAACCAAGGGGAGAAAAAATCCCAAAAAAATGAATTAAAATTTAATATTACAAAGAAGATGGAGATATCAAAATTGGGAAACAAAAGAGGGGTGAACCATTTACCAATGTAAGTAGCGGTGAAACTGAAGAAGCAGTGAAGAAAGTTGAGCTGTAAATCGCAAACGCCATGCCCTTGTTGCCCCCGCACTCCCCTCAACGTTCGAGCTATGATAGTTCAGGATTAGGATACTGAGGCTCTGGCCTCTGAGGTAAAACAAAAAGGTAAGAAAGAGTAGGATAGGCTGAAACGGCAAACATACATGCCGTTTTACTGCGTGTAAAATGTGCAAGAACACAAGGATCCAAAAGTTTTGGTAAACTACCCCATCAGTCACCAAACTATAGGGTCTGTTTTATTTTTGTCATTTTACTAAAATGAGGAGGTGATTATGGGTTGAGTGTTTTGGGCTAGCTATTAGGAAAAAGTTTCTTGGATCAAATTGATAGAGTTTAAAAAGATAAAAGATTAAATTTATTAAATTATTTAAAATTAAAACTAAAATTTTAGAATATATAATATCAAATAATAATTGCATTATTATATCAAGTGACTTCAGTGGGAAAGATTATTCTTTTTAAAAGTCTTGAGTTCAAACAGCTATGCTTGTAGGACATGTTTGTATTGTCAATAGGTTAAAAAAGTTTTGAACATATGTTATCTTGTAATCACCTAAATTATTCCAAAAAAATAGTAATTTATAATATTCATTACTAAATTTATGAGATTTTTAATTTGGTGACCAAAATGAAACATATCTCATAGTTTGGTGACTAATGGGTTAGTTTACCCAAACGTTTTTATAATATAATCTAACAAATCATTAATTTTATTCAAAATAAAAATATCCTAAATTACAATAAAGATTTACGATCATAATCGTAAATTAAATACATAACTAGGACAATTTACTATAATTATTGAAACAAAACTAGCAACTTATTACATAAGAATCATACAATGAAATATTAGAATCTAACAAATAAAACTCAAACAAAGATAGATACAAACAGATTTGATTACATTAACAAACGAATCACCAAAGGGGATCAAGCTACTAAAAGACTACCGAAAAATCACAAATCAAACACAACTGACGTGAAAAGCTATCCACGAATGAATAATGAGTATCTAAATCCAATCCGAGAGTACAAAGAATGAAAGATCAATAAACAGATAAACATCATCTTAATTAGTCATGATAATATCTAATTAACCCTTAGAAAAAGATAAGTGAAAACAAATATAAATTATCGAAAAGCATGCCAAAAGATAGGAAAAAAACATGTCATAAAGGCAGAGGAAAATGTATCATACAAACATACTTATTGAAAATAAAAAACAAGAGAAAATAAAAAGGCTATAAAAAAATACCGACAATCGATAACTAGTATTAAAATTAGTACCGTCGCCGATTAATAAAACAAAAAAAATAATGAGCACTATTAGGAAAGTATGGAGACTTAAAACCTGGGTAGCCGAGTAGTGTGGGTCACAGCCATAGGGTGTAGTATCTCTTTCTTCTTTATAATGTCTTTGTAGTAATTTCCATGACTTCTACTTTTTATACGTTTCTGACATTGAATTTATGAAGGCTTAGAACTAGAGTAGCGTAGTATTGTTGCCTTAGTTTAGGTTTTAATCCATTTGACTTTATTCCTTATCGTAGATTGTTATCGTGATTTCTGTGTATCATTCTCTTCATATTTCATCTTTTTAAATTTATCCAGATCTTACATTTCTATCTATATACAGAGATTTTTACGCAGGAATTTATTTACAGAAATTACTTCCTATTACAGACGCGCATCTGAAGACTGCATAAAAAAACTGTTCAACTATATTTATTTATTTATACATGCATTGTGTTTTATATTTATTTTTAATTTTCTGACTGTCGGAATTCTTCTGCGAAAGTTGTTCTCAACCTGGCGTTGGGGACAGCCTACTACTCTACCTCCCCTTACCCTATTACATATGAAAATATGATTTTGTTGTTTTATTCTAAAAAATTTTGACTGTACTTTTTTTATAACACCATATTCAATCTCTTAATTGATTAATCCGAATTGTACACCGCAGTCTTTCTTAATTTCAGGGGGAAATTGAAGCATTGCAGGAAAAACACCAAGACAGAGAACTCCTCATGTTACAATTTACAATAGAGCTCTCATCCTCCCCACAGTTCTTAATCCAAGACAGAGACTTAAGTAAAAGACATACGATTGTTTTATGCCTACATGACCGTGAACAAAAACTCATAATAAGTCCAGAATTATACATCTGGAGAATCGGATTACGTGGAGACATTGGTTTGAGGTCTGCGTCCTAGCAGTAGATTAAGGTCCATCTTCTTGTGCTGAATCAGAAACCGATTGATCCAAGTGAGACATCGGTTTACAATAACAGGGCTAAGGAACGAACAAAGACGTTGATAACGATAGACTTACTGCTTAGAATGAAGCCTTGAAGCAAGCTTTGGGCTCTCTCGGACTGCTCCGGAGTACCCGATATTTGAATGATCTTTTGCGTCTCATCTGGTCTATCTTCTACCAGAGTCACATTCGCACCAGACAACTACACCACAAATACATCCACCAAGAGATGAATTACTTGAAAACTAGATTGAACCAAAGTAAACATAAACAAAATAGGTAGTTGAAAGCAGTGCTCGGTACCTCGCTGATCTGCGCCAGTTTGTTTTTCGATTTTGCTATCAGCTTGGGAACAGCATAATCCGGTATGACAACTTCAAGTGTACTCCTAGTAACAAGTGGTACAGCGATCCTAAAAGAAAATTACAAGCAAGAGAGGCACTATTTATTAGAATAGCCTTTAAAAATACTGGAAATGAATTGAAAGAGTCTTCATTCTTTAAATGGAATTTTCTTAGAAAATACTTTATAACAGAAAGATTGAGCAATTTTGCTGCAACCTTCATTTTATAACTATAAAAAAGGACCAAATAAGAGTGAAATAATGCAAAACTTAGCCACATGCTAATTGCACTTGGAACATCTTCACGTCGTTCAGATTCAGTCTGCTTCACTGTTTCCGCACCAGATTTCATAACTTCCTATAAAAAATAATTAACTTTTATAACCATATTCTTAGAATAAAGAAGGGTCCTGATGTACTTCAAGATGTTCAGTTGTGCACCACATAGCAGTTAAAGATTTTCTTCCAAAGAAACTGAAGGAAAACTCAATTCTAAGATTGGAGAACCTTTTTTTTACTACATATGCAATTCAAGAAAAACAAATACCAGCAATGAAGCAGTGAAAGGGAAATCAAAATCAAAAGAAAGCAGCATAAGTACAACCTTTGATGATGATGGCGTTGCTGGAGTTGGCACATTCTGATAGTATCCACCAGGAGGGTCATTGGCAGTTTGTCCATCACGAGCTGGAGTTAAGTCTGGAGAAATATTCCCAATGGATGTTGTTGCAGTGATAGGTGGTGCTGGAGGTGGAGGGTCCCTATACAAGTAACTGCGTAACCGTGATGTGATCTCAACAAGAGCATCTCGAGCTGCCTTTATCTCCCCCACAATCTGCAGAGGAAATCAAAGTGCTATTCAGAATATATAAGGTAAATCCATCCTATCATCTCATCCATCATTTATTAAACTTAACAAACCCATGGCCAAGAGATAGAAGAACTTAAGACTCAAGAATTTGAATCTTCCTGCCTGGATTTAGCTAACACCGAGAAGCTAAGATCTATTTCATTCATAGGAATAGGTATCTAAGTAGCAAACCTGCACAATGTCATTGGGTCCTGATACAAAAGAAGGAAGTTCTTCTCCTGACAGTATCTGTATGTTTGCACCGGTTAATATTTTCATTTCAGATAATGATCCATCTCTTCCCTCTAAACATCCAATTTCACTCGATCGAACAAGCAACCTAGTAGTTACTATGTTATCTTTATCAGGAACAAGGTCAACAATCTGAGTTTGGATATGCAATAAAGCCTCTTGAGCTGGAAACAACTCATCATCAGGACCCTAAGGATAAACAAAACCAAAGATATGTGAGAAACCTTTATGAATATGTAGAATTCAAAATTCAAAAGGAGATGAATTCATTTGTCAAATGTCTTTCAAGTCTCTAAAAATTGTAAATGAAAATATCTGATTCGAAAAGCTAAAAAGTGACGCAATTTATCACCAAAAACAGCTGGGGAAAAGAAAAAGGGCGCATGCTAAAGAAAAACTATCTACTCAAGTGACATGTTATTAAATAAACATAGAGAGATGGTAAGTACCTCCTCAGAAGAAATGGTAATTATCTTCTCATCTGACCCTGCCACCGGATCAGCAACCTTGACATCCACACCAATTTCATTTTGAAGTAAATCTATTATGCCATCTGGCTCCCCAAAAACACTATCAACCTTGTCAATAGGGCAAAGTATCCGAAACACAAGATCCTCACCGTACAGAGCCTGTCCACTGTCAGCCATAGGAGCAGTCCCAGCTTCAATGAAGCCAGATGGACGTGAGGAATAATTGTTGCCTCTGTAATTCATAGTAGACATCCGAGAACCAAAAGAACCATCCATAGATGATTTACGTGATGTATTGTTTATCGGTGGAATATAATCATCATCAGGGGAAAACCACTCTAGTGAATGCATTCGTCCATGGAAATTACTGCGGTCACGATGCTGACTCTCCCTTATGCGTGATGAAATAATTGCTATAGCATTTTTTACAGCATTTGCATCACCTACAACCTGCATGACAAACAACAGTAGACAAACATCATAAAACAATTTTCAGTATCTTCCACCAGAGGGAAATTGGGAGGGAGAAAGAAGTTCAAACTGAATCTGCTTAAAAAAGTTTTCTAGAATAATCATGTTTGGTAGCCAAACCACCCATAACAAATCGCACCATCAAAAGCATTATCCTTTACAATGCATTATGGACAGTGGGAACAATTCAATATACACGGATCTAATCTATCCAACTTTTATACCCATTTGCAGCCTCGGCTGCATAGGATACCTAGATTTGGATGGCGTCATCAGCAATCATAGAAATATGGTTAAGTAGAACATGGG